TGGATAAATGATAGAGCTTAAAACTTTAAACCCAAGTCAAAACTAGGACTGACACTATGCCTACTAAAATTTATGAAATCACATTGCTGGAGCTAAACTGTCTTTTTTTTTTTTGTCTGACATGGGGCCTGGGCCTCTTGGCCCGGGTGCTGTCCCTCAGCTCTTCAGCTCAAGGCTAGAGCTCTACCACTTGAACCACAGCACCACTTCTGGTTTTCTAGTGATTAATTAGAGATTAGAGTCTCAGGGACTTTCCTTTCGGGCTGGCTTCAAACCTTGACCCTCAGATCTCAACCTCCTGAGTAGCTAGGATTACAGGCAAGAGCCACTGGCGCTCTCCTTTTCACTTGTATCATCCAATCATCTCCTATTTTAAGAAGGGAAAGAACTTTAGGATCATTTAAAAATACTTCAACTCTTCAAGGCAGAACAGGCTATGAAAAGGAAGCAAGAATAAACTGTATAGAAAAACATATTCTAATTGTGTGGGAAGTTGTATGTAGCAAACAAGTTCACTGTTGTTTGTGAGAAGGCATGAAAAACATCACAGCTGAAGCATTAACCTTGTTCCTAGTTCCAAAAGGACATTCCACTTAACATATTTGTTAACCTGATATACATGTTCCAAGCAAACAAACTGCTTTATGGACCTATTTACCTAAATGGCACCATTATTCTCCTGAATCACTTGAAAATAAACGGTCTCCCTGACTTTCTCTTTCTCTCTGTTGGGTGTGGAGCTTGAACTCAAACTGGGCGCTGTCCCTGAGCTTTTTTTGCTCCAGGCTAGCATTCTACCACTTTCAGTCACAGCTCCACTTCTGTTTTCTAGCGGTTATTGGAGATAAGGGTCTCAGACTTTCCTACCTGGGCTGGCATCCCTCAGCATCCAGAGTAGCTACGATTACAGTTGTGAGCCACCAATGCCCCACTTCCATTACTCATACAGCTGCATCGTCTGGAGCAGAGTTTTCCCTAAATATTCCAGATTGTTTCCTGTTGCTACTCTAGTACCAATTCTTTACCCAACTTCTTTCATTATTCCCCTCCAAATTTAAGAATTCAGATGGCCCTTTACTGGTTATTCCAAAGTCCTAAATCTAGAATTAAAGCCTTCATTATCGGACTGCATATTTAGTCAAATGTATCCTTTGCTATTTCAATACAATTTCCTGTCATGCCACAGGCATACACAATACTGCCTGTGGTAATCAAAACATAGTCAAGGTTTTACATTCTAGGCAAAGTTTTCCAATTCCTTAGCTCAGATTCACTTTCTGACTTCCTTACTAAGCATAGTACATAGCACTCCACTAAATATTTTTTTTTTGCTTGAACTCAGGGCCCTGGCACTGTCCTGAGCTTCTTTTTGCTCAAGGCTAGTGCTCCAAAACTTGAGCAAAAGCTCCTTCCAGCTTTTTCTTAAGTTAATTTTATTGGAGATAGAAGTCTTACAGACTTCACTGCCGAGAGTGGCTTCAAACTACGATCCTGAGATCTTAATGTTCTAAGCAGCTAGGGTTATATAGGCATAAGCTACCAGTGCCTGGCAGCACTCCATTAAGTATTTTTTTAAATCAAGATTTGAATGCCAGCAAATTATACTGCAAGTTTTCTTCCCTCAAGAACACTGAAGAAGCCCTTACTAATAAGGCAGCAGATGCTCTATCAGGAATTTCACCTCAGGTTACTTAAAATAGAATTCAGCATATCATCTTTTCTAAACTTCTTTTACTCATTAAAACAGAGCATTAAGCTTCAGCAACAAACCAAAATATACAGTACAGTGCATGTATATAATGTGCATAGGACTGAACTTGTGTCAGAAACTCATAGTTGTCCAGGGTCCTCTGAATCTTAGCATTTTCCCCCCTTTTGGTGCCAGTCCCAGGGCTTGAACTCAACAGCCTGAGCCCTGTCCCTGAGCTTTTTCACTCAGGGCTAGCTAGAACTCTACACTTGAGCCACAGCTCTACCTCTGGCTTTTTAAGAGATTAATTGGAGATAAGTGTTTCAGAGAGGGGCTGGGAAGGTGGCTCAGTGGTAGAGCACTTGCATGCCTTGCATGCATGAGGCCCTGGGTTCGATTCCTCAGCACCACATAAGCAAAAAGAAAAAAAGCCAGAAGTGGAGCTGTGGCTCAAGTGGTAGAGCGCTAGCCTTAAGCTGAAGAGCTGAGGGACAGCGCCCAGGCCCAGAGTTCAGGCCCATGACAGGACCTCCCAAAAAAAAAAAAAAGTTTCAGAGACTTTCCTGGCCAGGCTGGCTTTGAACTGCAATCCTCAGATCTCAGCCTCCTGAGTACCTAGAATTATAAGCATCAACAGGACTCAGTTTTTAGTTTCTAAATTGCTAACATTACTTCAGCCCTTAATAACAGCATGATCTGTAAATCAAAGATGTATCAAAGACGGGGGGAGTTCCTAAAATGCCTTAAAATAGGCAATACATGTGTAGTCCTCTTTCCTTCAATAGGTTTAGTAGTCTCTAGATAGTTTTCACTTAATTCTAAGTACCTTTTTACTGAGCTGGGATTAGTATGCACCCTTTATATATTCTAGATAAAATAAATGAAATGCGCTAGCATGTATGAAACCCTGGGTTTGTTCAATTCCTCAGTGCCACACAAACAGAAGAAGCTGGAAGTGGGTCTGTGGCTCTAATAAAGTGCTAGGCTTGAGCAAAAGAAACTCAGGGATGCCTTGCAGGCCCTGAGTTCAAGCCCCAGGACTGGCAAAAAAAAAGAAAAGAAAAAAGAAATTACACTTATTATTACAGGCATGTATGTGCACTACACTTGGCTTAGAAGTAGCCTTGATATTAAACAGTTCCTAAAGAAGCTCAGGGACAATGTCCAGGCCCTGAGTTTAAGCCCAAGGACTGCCACCACCCCCACCCCCAAAAAAAGCATTGAAGGGAGAAATAGGTTAAAAAAAATTCTATTTGGGAAAATGGCTCAGTGGTAGAGTGCTTGCCTTGCATGCACGAGGCCCTGGGTTCGATTCCTCAGCACAACATACGCAGAAAAAGCCAGAAGTGGTGCTGGGACTCAAGTGGTAGAGTGCTAGCCTTGAGCTGAAGGACAGCGCCCAGGCCCAGAGTTCAGGTCCCACCACCGACAAAAAAAAAAAAAAAATCCAATTATTGCCAGGTGCTGGTGGCTCATGCCTGTAATCTTCACTACTCAGGAGGCTGAGAACTGAGGATCATGGTTCAAAGCCAGCCAGGGCAGGAAAGTCCGTGAAACTCTTCAATAAATCACCAGAAAACCGGAAGTGGCACTGTAGCTCAAGTGGTAGAACGCTAGCCTTGAGCTGAAGAGATGAGGGGCAGCGCCCAGGCCCAGAGTTCAAGCCCCAAGACAGACCAAAAAAAAAAAAAAAAATCAATTTATCAAATAAGTTAATGCCTGAATACATTTTGACTTAAAAGTAAATGGGAATCTTTCATGTTACCTAGGTGGAGTAAGTTTAATAAGAAACAAGTCCCATTAGTAGTTCAGACCTCACAAAGCAAAACAAGTATTCTCCCCAAACAACTTTTTGTCAATTTCATCCAAATTCAATCTCAGAAAGTTAGTTTTGTTGCTACCTGAATGTTTTAAGTCTTTAAAGAACAAAAGCCTAGATTTAACTCTTATGAACTTCAAAAAGTCAAATCCATTCCTTCTAGCATAACCCCCAGCTGTTGTGTGTTTCCCTAGTGACTAAAATAAATAACACAACAGCCCCAGAAATGCTTGGGGCTTTTGTTTTATTGTTAGGGTCCCACACTCATCCATTTTCATTACTAGGGTAACTTCAAAACTAAAACTCTAAAAACAAACGTCCTAGCATATTTACCCTGAGAATTTGTGTGTGTGTGTGTGTGTTTCATCCAATCTCAAATAATGAAACCTTCTGAGCCCTCTTTCCCAGGAGAGGGGTGAGAGAAGAAATGGGAAGGGCTTACAGTTTCCAGGTAATCGTTTAAAGAAATAGTAAAGACTGACTAGCTATTTAAAAAATACCGAGCCAGTACATTCGTTTCGGTTATGTAAGCTTAAAGACAGAATATGTTTTTAACTTTTTTGTTTTTACCGTAAAAACCTGTAAAGGAGCGATCAGGTTTTTTGTTTTTTTTAAAAAAAAACAAGAAAAGCATTAGAAGTTGAGAAGAAAAAAAACAATAACAACCCAACATCAAGTCAAGAGAGGAGCTCCTCAGCATCTCCAGTCCTTTGGATGTGAAAATTAAAAAGAGGGGCGGGGGGGGGGGGCATGAAGGGAAAAGGCTCCTGGCGTCGTTTTCCCCTCACGGCTCTGGTCTTAAGAACGCTTAAGGAAGGGTCGGTGCGCTGGTTGACTAACCACTTCATTAGGTTCTCGTCCCACCTCCAACCTCAAGGCTTTTCGCCCTGTATAGACGCAACGCCGCCGGTTCCGACAGAGACGCGGCCGCTCACTGCAATAGAGAGCCAAGGAGACACAGGCCCCAGCTAGCCCCGCGCCAGCGGCTCCCGCCCGGTCCTCAGCCCCGCGCACCTCCGACCCCGACTCCCTCCGCACAGAGCTCGCTCGGGGGGCGCCAGCGGCGCCACCGCGGGAAGCGCCCGGGCCACGGGGCGGCCCGCGGGGAGCTCCCGGCGGCCGCCGCCTCCCGCCCCACCGCGGACGAGACCGAGAAGGAAGCCCCGGGCGGGGAGGGGTGCAAAGGTGAGGGGTGACCAGTCCAAGTACCGATGAGAGAGTGAGAGAGAGGGAGGAGGGAGAGGGAAGGAGGGAGAGGGAGAGAGAAAGAGAGAGAGGAGGGGAGGGGAGGGGGCGCGGGGCCTCTGGAGTGTCGGGGGGGGGGGGAGGTGGAACCCAGAAGCCATCTTGGGACGGGACGAGAAATCGCGCCGGCTCGAGTCCGCTCCCCGCGGGGGACTCCCCGCAACCTGGCCCGACCGCGCTCGTCCTCCCGTGCAACCCCGAGCGTCGGGCCGCCGCCGAAGACGGCTCCCGCGGCTTTGTACTCACTCTGCCCTCGAAGTTGTTCTCCTCTACATCACTCATGTCGGCCAGGCGCTCCTCAGAACTAACTAAGAGGCAAGTCTCGGCGCGAGGGCCGACGGCCTAAGTCAACCTGGCTGTCTGGACCGTGGGGAGGAGGAAAGAGCCGGCAACAACAAGCCGGGGCCCCGCTCCACTCCCACTGGGTCGCAAGCTCCGGCAAAATGGCGCCGGCGCCGCCAGAAGCCTTCTGGCGTCTCCACTGCGCGACGTAAGAGGGCGGGAGCCGCGGTGACGTCACGAGGCCCCGCCTCCCGCGGGGGCTTTGTGCGCACCGGGCGGGGCGAGCCGGGAGCCGCACGTGTCTTGGTGGCACGTGGCCTGAGCTTGGACGCCAGGACGCCGGCTTACCGCGTCGCCAACTCCTCGGGCCGGTCCGGGTACCAGACTAACTCCTCCACCTCAGAAGATGATCAGTCACCAAATGAACGTTCAGTGGCCTTAGCCCCTTTAAATACTGCCACCGGAATTCCTTGGTTGTGTAAGTGTTTGATGGTGGTGGGTCTTGAACTCGGGGCCTGGGCACTGTCCCTGAGTTCTTTTGCTCAGAACTCGCACTCCACCGCGTGGAGCCACAGCCCCATTTCCGGTGATTAATTGGGGATAGGAATCTCACTGCCATCCTGAGTACCTGAGAGGACAGGTGTGAGCCGCCCGGAGCCACGCTCAGCGGTGGAGGGAGGTGAGTATTAGGGCCTGAACTCCGGGCCCGGGCACTGTCTCTCAGCGTTGTCACTCAGGCCGATGCTCTTCCACTTGATTCACAGCTCCACTTTTGGCTTTTTGGAGGTTAATTGGAGATAAGAATCCAAGGCTGGCTTTGAACCGCAGTCCTTAGATGTCAGCCTTCTGAATAGCTAGGAATACACAAGTGAAGAGTCGGCCACAGGCACCGGGGCTGCTACCATTTTCCCTTTTTAATAGGGTTATAATAAAAGCCACAATTCCTTGCCTCACTTCTCTTTGCCACATGTTCTTCCTAGTCAATTATTTTATTATGTCTTATAATGCTTAGTTCTCTACTAATGGCTATTTGGTAGTACTGAGATTTGAACGCAGGGCCATACTAGTCAGGCACTCTACCACTTGAGCCATGACCATAGCTCCCTACTAACTTAGGAATGGCCTTTAAATTTCAATGACAAGACCTCCCAGAGGTCTTAGTTCCTAAGTGCTTTTTATTTATTTATTTTTTTTTTGTGCAGGTCCTGGGGCTAGAGCTCAGGGCTGGGTGCTGTTCCTGAGCTGCTTTTGTACAAGGCTAGCACTCTACCACTTGAGCCACAACTCCACTTGGCTTTTTCTGATAGTTTACAGTCTTGGAGATAAGAGTCTTCCAGACTTTCTTGCCTGGGCTGACTTCTAACCATGATCCTCAGATTTCAGCTACCTAAGTAGCTAGATTTACAGGTGGGAGCCACCGGTGCCCGGCTTCAACTATAGTTCTGTGTTAGGAAAATTAATGGATTATTATTGTGAAGATTGCTACTCCTGGCCCAATTTCAACATTTGATTGTCTGTTATTGACTCAACTAAACATAATATCTAGCTATAGATAGATAGATAATCAGAGATACAGAGGTAGCTACCTATCTATCTACACATATTTTTTTTTGGTAGTACTTTGGTTTGAACTCAGAGCCTTGCACTTGTTAGCAAGCATTTTACAATCTGAATTACATCTCCAGCTCTGTTTTGCTTGTTATTTTTCATATAGGTTCTCCTGTTTTTGCCTGGGTTATTTTTAGATCGGAGGAAGGGATTTGAGGAGGGGAGGAAGAAGATGAATGTAAGAACATTCCAGGGGCTGGTAAGGTGGCTCAGTGGTAGAGTGCTTGCCTTGCTTGCATGAGGACCTGGGTTTGATTCCTTAGCACCACATAAGCAGAGAAAGCCAGAAGTGGCGTTGTGGCTTAAGTAGTAGAATGCTAGCTTTGAGCTGAAAAGCTGAGGGACAGTGCCCAGGCCCAGAGTTCAGGCCCTACGATTGACCAAAAAAAAAAAAAGAATATTCCGAAGTCTGAAACTTTTTCAGTTCTGAGTTGTCTGATTGTTACTCAAGGATAAAGGAGGGACAGTTTCACCTTCCAGTAACACAGAGAACACAGAAGTGACTTTGAGTTTTCTTCAAGCTGGGGTGGAGCTTTGAATTGTGTGTCCATATGTATAATTTATTTCAAATGTGTTCTCATTTGGAGGTTGAAATCAACAAGAGGCCCCTCAGCTAGGGAAAGGATGTATATTCATTCTGCCAAGGATTCCTATAACTCTTTTTGTGTTCAAGAGGCTGGCTAGTTTTCAAGCACATTGATTTAGACTGTGGCCTCTCTCTATGGGCAACCCTAAGAGGAGAGAGTATTTTACCTCATTATCTCCAGAGATCTAGGCTTGGCCCAGTGCCAAGGGCAGGGCTATCTTTATAGGACTCTTTCCCCTCCAACCACAACTGCCATCACTGATTTGCTTAGTAGATCTTAAAGTAGGGAGTGTCTGATTGCAGGAGGCAAACAGACAGGGCACTTGCCTTTGCCTAGGTAGACTTAGATCCTGCCTGGGTACTCGCCCACAACCATTCCCAGACATGAGTTCCCACTAATGTTCTTCTACTCTGGGACTGCAGATCATAGGTACTGTGTGCTGTCTTCCAATGCTTGTTAAACAGTGTGAGCATTTGCCATGAGGGAAAATAAATACATAAATAATAAAACTTTACATAAATAATAAAACTTTAAAAATGTTGAGTGGAGCTGAGCACCAGTGTCTCACACCTATAATCCCAGCTACTTAGGAAGCTGAGATCTCAGGATCATGTTTCAAAGGCCCCGCAGGAAAGTCTATGACACTCTTCTCTCCAATTAACCACTCAAGAGTTACAAGTGAAGCTGTGGCTCAAGTAGTAGAGCACCAGCCTTAGCAAAAAAGCTAAGGGACAGTGCTATGGTCTTGGATTCAATCCCTAGTACACACACTCTCTCTCTCTCTCTCTCTCACACACACACACACTGAGGGGATCTGATATGTGAACCTCTGATCAATCATTAGTACCATTAAAATTATGAAAACCAAGCCAGGCATAGTGGCTCGCCTGTTATCTTTGCTACTGTTGGGAAAGCTGGGGAGAAGACAGATCAGAAAGACTGGGGTTCACTCTTCAGCTTTTGTTTGCCATCGTGGTTACTGTGCCTTCCAGAGCTTCCCATCATGTCTTCTCACAAGACTTTCAGAATCAAGTGGTTTCTGGCCAAGAAACAAAAGCAAAATCGCCCCATGCCCCAGTGGATTCAGATGAAAACTGGTAACAAAATCAAGTACAACTCCAAGAGAAGACACTGGAGAAGAACCAAGCTGGGTCTGTAAGGAATTGCTTCAGATGCCCACCTATTTATGCTCTACCATGAACCAGTCAAGCTGAAACGTCAATATTGCCTGGACTGACAGTTGGGCATTTTTTAAATTGATTTTTCTTTGGTTATTTTAATAATGGGCATAGTAATAAACATGTAATAAACGTTACATTTGAATCAGCAAAAAAAAAAAGGAAGAAAGACTGGGGTTCAAGACCAGTACAAGCAAAAAGTTCAAGAGACTACTCAAAAAAAAAAAAATCTGAGTGCAGGAGGATGGAAAATAAGTAAACAGTTTCAGATAGAAAATTATCAAAAGTAGAAAGAGCCAGAGACATGGCTCAAATGATAGAATGGTTGCCTAGTAAGCACAAAGCCTTAAATTCAATCGTGGGTCTAGCACTGTACCAATAAATACCACTAAATGTGACATATTTCATGATAATGTGATACAATAGAAAATGGTTAGTGGCTCCTGTGAAGTGTTCTTTCTTTATTATTTTTATTTTTGAAGTATCAGGATTTGAACTCAGGGCCTAGGCAGATATTTTCCCTCTGGAGCCATGACTCCAGCCCTTTTTCACCACTCATTTTTGAGATAGGGTCTCCATTTTTGCCCACATTGGCTGGAACCTTCCACTGCAGTTGGGAAGATAAACCATGTTTGGTTTTTCAGTTGAGATGGGGTCTTATAGACTTTTAATCTAGGCTAGCCTGGAACCACAACCCTTCCTATCTACCTATCCACACCTCCCAAGTAGCTAGGATGATAGGACACCAGTGCTCCATTCCCATTTCGTTTTTTGTTTTGTTTTTGTTTTGGTTAGTAGGGTTTAGATGCTGGGTCTTATGCACTCAACCACTGAACCGTACCTCCAGTGATTTTTCATGCTGGTTATTTTTGAGATTAGGATCTCACTTACTGCTCAGGCCTGCCACCTGGACCATGATCCACCTGTTTTTCACTTCCCACTCAGCTGAGATGGTGGGTGCACACTACATCCATTTACTAAGAAGGATCTTACCAACTTTTCTGCCCTGGCTAGCCTGGGACTAAGATCCTGATCTTAGTCTCCCAAGTAGCTACAATTGCATGACCCCAGCTTTTTGATCTCTCTAATTAAACACAAAAGTATTTAAGAGTTAGATCTGCTGGGCACTGGTGGCTTATGTCTATAGTCCTAGCTTCTCTGAGACCTGAGAATCACAGTTCAAAGTCAGCCCAGGTAAGAAAGTCTGTGAGACTCTTATCTCCAAATAACCACCAGAAAATCAGGAGTGGAGCTGTGGCTCAAAGTGATAGAGCTCTAGCCTTGTTCAAACCCCATGATTGACCAAGAAAAAAACAACAAACCACAGAATTAAATTTAACAGTATTATAAAAAGAAACACCCAAAGGAAGTAGTCAGCTTCCACAGCACAGATTACCTGATTTCTCCAACTGATTAAAATCAAGGTCAGGACTAGTGTGGACTATTATGGGCTAAAAAAATATTAAAATATGTAATTAAGATATTTGTGTATGTGTGTGTATGTGTGTGTCAGTCATGGGGCTTGAACTCTGGCCTGGGCACTGTTCCTTAGCTCTTCAGCTCAAGGCTAAAGCTCTACCACTTGAGCCACAGTGCCAGCAGAATCAGATGGACTTTCCTTCCTGGGCTGGCTTTGAACCATGATCCTTAGATCTCAGCTTCCTTAGTAGCTAGAATTACAGGTGTAAGCACCTGGCTTAAAATACATCTATTTATATATCTTATGGTCAGTTGTGAGGCTTGAACTCTATCTATTTATCTTATGATCTTGATTTTCAAACAAACTTGGTGAGCAAAATTTAAATAAG